CGCTATGGAGTGAGAGGTGTGCTGGATCCTGGACCATATGGGAGGAATCATTTATGAAGTCAGGTGCCTGCTGGATCTGGGGCCATTGGGGAGATGCCTGTGTGGAGAGAGCTGTATGCAAGATCCAGAACCATATGGAGGACGATAGGGAGGACTCCTGTATAGAGTGAGGTGTGAGCCGGATCCAGGGCCATGCAGACAACTCCTCTATGGATTGAGGTGTGTGCCAGATCTCGGACTGTGGGGAGAATGCCCGATATGAAACATGACAGGCAGAGACAGCAAAGCAATGTAACTGGAAATTTTATTCGGGGTGGTGCAACTTTATCTATTATAGATGCAGTATACGTACTACATACACATATACATACACACACATATACATACATACACATATACATACTGTGACAGGGTACTCGGCTCTGTGTATGTCAGTGAGAGGTTGAAAAGGGCAGCTTTCCCTGGCTAGGAAAGACTGTTAGTTGGCCTCCTAAGGTGGAGTCGGCTTTTTTATTTGTGTTACTTTTGAGTTCTGACGGAAATTGTTTGTTTAAAGGAGACTTTTACGTTGCATGCAATAAAGACGCATTTATTGCCAATACTGATTAAAGACCAGTGACTTTCCTACAATGCATACACATACACACATATACATACATACATACATATATACACACGTATACATACATATTTCCTGACACCAATCCATGGCAGCACACAATGGGTATGGCTCCGCCCCCAGCCCAATCACAGGACCAGTTATACTACAAATTAAAGCCCGCCTCCCAAGGCCACCATTCTTTTTTCTGTCCTCACTGCTCAAGCCGGTTATACTCAGGATACGTTGGAGTTTTTTGCCTTCACCTTGCTGGTTTCTTCTGGCCTGCCGCACAGGTTCAGCCTCCTGTCGCGAAGTTCCCTTTGTTAGGTGGCTAAATGCAGTCTGATAAGGGAAGCCTCCCCCATAGCCTTGGAGTTGGGGTGCAGGAATGGTCTCTTGATGTTCGGATGCTTCCTCCATCATGGCGGCGGGTTGAACACTAGCTTAGCCTCCTGGCCTTGTGACTCCAGAGAAGAACCGTGACTCCGCCCCATCATCAGAAACTTTATGAGCTTATATGCAGGTTACCTCCAACTCTGTCAATAGCTATTAGAATTTATTTTTTCGGGATAATTCATATTTGATTAAATTGTACTCAAAATTAACGTTCAAGATTTTTGGTTGGATTGTGCCGTAGATACAAAATCATTGAACCTCCGATAACTTCTGCAGAACAATTTGTGAATTTGGCTAAACTACTCAAAATCAGCAGTGTATATCCAACTGTAGAATGAGGACCATCAGAGGCCTGCAGAATGAGGACCATCAGAGGCCTGCAGAATGAGGACCTTCAGAGGCCTGCAGAATGAGGACCTTCAGAGGCCTGCAGAATGAGGACCATCAGAGGCCTGCAGAATGAGGACCATCAGAGGCCTGCAGAATGAGGACCATCAGAGGCCTGCAGAATGAGGACCATCAGAGGCCTGCAGAATGAGGACCATCAGAGGCCTGCAGAATGAGGACCATCAGAGGCCTACAGACTAAGGACCATAGGTTGACAACCATCAATTATCTCTCTGACAATAATCGGCCCATCTAGGATTTAATTCCATTCTGTTAGGAAATTTCAGCTTTTTGCTGACTCCTCATTGGTTTGAATCCACCAATAGAGGGGACTGGAAGAAAAGCGAATTAGTCGACTCAAATTAATTGCTTTGTATAGGAAACAAACATACCAATCCACGGAATGAGGAAATTATATCCAGTTGATGCTTTTGGATCTGGAAATAAAAATGTAAAATAAACTGAATTTTAGCTTTGCTATTGGTAAAAAGATTTCAGATTTTGCTCATGATCTAAAGAAGGGAGTGGGGGAGGGTAAGACTGGTGTCAGGGTTTTTTGTCCCCTGTGTCTCATTAGAGAGCATTCCTTCACTTCCTGTCCTGTAGACTCCACAGGAAGTGAGAGGATATCATTCCCTTGTGAGGAAAATTGCCTCTTAGATGTGATGAGAAAAGATGTCCCCATTGGAAGATTTCCCCAGTGTTCCTGTTCTGGTTTTTAGAATTTTGCAATTACCCTTCATGTAATTCCTGATGACTATTAGAGAGGTGAATCTTCCTGACGGGGACACCTGACACCCGACACATGTTCTTCTAACCCCCAACATACACTTTCCAAACCTAAAAATATGTTTTACCACAACAAGACACAAAGCAAACTTCTGATCTGATTGAGGTTAAATCTGCATTAAACTCTCGATTTATCAATGATACCTTCCCGACCCCCTTCCCGGCTCCCTCGCTGTCCCCCTTCCCGGCTCCCTCGCTGTCCCCCTTCCCGACTCCCTTCCCCACCCCCTCCTCTTCCTGGCTCCCTTCCCGGCTCCCTTCCCACCTGATCGGCCAAAGACGGCTTTAGCGTATTCCGGGTGGCTGATCACCAGACTGGTCACAAATTTTCCAATCCATAAAGGAAAAGCGTTGGGATATTTCTCAACCCAAACCATCAACCGATCCAGATCCTTCCCATCCCGGCGAAACTGAAAAAGATTACAGAGAGGGAAACATTCCACATACAGATCTTATGGAGATTGTTACATGCGTGGGGAACTTTACAGAGAAACCTTTTCATCAGACATGACCGGACTGAGCTGAACATAGGAAGAAAATGGGAATCCAGAGGATTCAGACCAGATATACACATACATGACCAGACATCACCAATCAGACCAGATATACACATACATGACCAGACATCACCAATCAGACCAGATATACACATACATGACCAGACATCACCAATCAGACCAGATATACACATACATGATCAGACATCCATAATCAGACCAGATATACACATACATGACCAGACATCACCAATCAGACCAGATATACACATACATGATCAGACATCACTAACCAGACCAGATGTACACATACATGATCAGACATCACCAATCAGACCAGATATACACATACATGATCAGACATCCATAATCAGACCAGATATACACATACATGACCAGACATCACCAATCAGACCAGATATACACATACATGATCAGACATCACCAATCAGACCAGATGTACACATACATGACCAGACATTTGTTGGAACGGTCTGGTGTCTTGATGACTAATGGCTGTAGATGCCGGAGTCCTAAGATGGGTTGCGGTGTCACCAATACACAACCATGAGAACTGACAATATGGACGATGCATTTAGGGGAACTTATCAATACTGGAGCAGACAGAATCCGGAGCAGGTACACTTGGCAACCAATCAGCTTCTCTCTTTCATTTTCTAAGCAGAATTGAACAAACTAATAAGAAAAGCTGATTGGTTGCCACGGGCAACTGCTCCAGATTCTGTTCGCTTCAGTTTTTGTAAAATGTACCCCATGTATCTTTTCTTCCTCATATATCTGTATATCAGCAGTCACCGTGTAGTTGTATTGTATCCGTCATGTATGGGAGTGTCGGCAGTCGCCGTGTAGTTGTATTGTATCCGTCATGTATGGGAGTGTCGGCAGTCACCGTGTAGTTGTATTGTATCCGTCATGTATGGGAGTGTCGGCAGTCGCCGTGTAGTTGTATTGTATCCGTCATGTATAGGAGTGTCGGCAGTCGCCGTGTAGTTGTATTGTATCCGTCATGTATGGGAGTGTCGGCAGTCGCCGTGTAGTTGTATTGTATCCGTCATGTATGGGAGTGTCGGCAGTCGCCGTGTAGTTGTGTTGTATCCGTCATGTATGGGAGTGTCGGCAGTCGCCGTGTAGTTGTGTTGTATCCGTCATGTATGGGAGTGTCGGCAGTCGCCGTGTAGTTGTGTTGTATCCGTCATGTATGGGAGTGTCGGCAGTCGCCGTGTAGTTGTGTTGTATCCGTCATGTATGGGAGTGTCGGCAGTCGCCGTGTAGTTGTGTTGTATCCGTCATGTATGGGAGTGTCGGCAGTCGCCGTGTAGTTGTGTTGTATCCGTCATGTATGGGAGTGTCGGCAGTCGCCGTGTAGTTGTGTTGTATCCGTCATGTATGGGAGTGTCGGCAGTCGCCGTGTAGTTGTGTTGTATCCGTCATGTATGGGAGTGTCGGCAGTCGCCGTGTAGTTGTGTTGTATCCGTCATGTATGGGAGTGTCGGCAGTCGCCGTGTAGTTGTGTTGTATCCGTCATGTATGGGAGTGTCGGCAGTCGCCGTGTAGTTGTGTTGTATCCGTCATGTATGGGAGTGTCGGCAGTCGCCGTGTAGTTGTGTTGTATCCGTCATGTATGGGAGTGTCGGCAGTCGCCGTGTAGTTGTATTGTATCCGTCATGTATGGGAGTGTCGGCAGTCGCCGTGTAGTTGTGTTGTATCCGTCATGTATGGGAGTGTCGGCAGTCGCCGTGTAGTTGTGTTGTATCCGTCATGTATGGGAGTGTCGGCAGTCGCCGTGTAGTTGTATTGTATCCGTCATGTATGGGAGTGTCGGCAGTCGCCGTGTAGTTGTATTGTATCCGTCATGTATGGGAGTGTCGGCAGTCGCCGTGTAGTTGTATTGTATCCGTCATGTATGGGAGTGTCGGCAGTCGCCGTGTAGTTGTATTGTATCCGTCATGTATGGGAGTGTCGGCAGTCGCCGTGTAGTTGTATTGTATCCGTCATGTATCGGAGTGTCGGCAGTCGCCGTGTAGTTGTGTCATGGAGGGAGCTGTAGGGAATTGGTAGATGTCACCACCATACAATCAGGATGAAGTATCAATCCTCCCCAACACAGCATTGTAATACTCTTAGGGTTACTATGTAAGAGTACCTGTCATACTCCAGCTGCTCTGTTGTAGGAGTACTTACATTACTGGCTATACAGTCCTAGGAGTACCTGTCATACATGGTGTACAGTCCTAGGAGTACCTGTCATACATGGTGTACAGTCCTAGGAGTACCTGTCATACATGGTGTACAGTCCTAGGAGTACCTGTCATACCCCATACAAGAAGTACCTGACATAAACAGCAGTACCATACAGATCATCATTGATGCCTATGAGTACTGCACTGATTTATGAGCGTTGGCAGACATGGACATCCTTACCTGGTTGACATGACCATACAGCCAGTGACTGGGTGGCCCCGGGAAGTCCTGCACAGCTGATTGCAGCTTCCTCCATCTGTAGGACAAGGAAAACGCTTTGAGCAGCAGCAGTCCAGCACACAGTAGTCCCACACACTGCAAAGCCAGATAGGAATAGTGCAGATCCTTCCACAACACAGACAGCATAATGACAACCCCGTGCGGCTCACTGCACCTCTCCCAGCTTGGAGAGTCTACAGAGCAAAGCCATAAGAAGCATCAGCCAATCCCCTGTGTGGGTGTGCCGATACTTCCTGGACTGTACACCGCCACTGCTGCGCAGCACCATCTAGAAAGAAAGACAGCGATTCCAGCTCCCGCCAACAATAATTAACCCTTTCCTGGCCTTTATTCTAGCAGAATTCATTCTGCTGAGCTTAATTTACAGAGCATATGGCGATGCAGATCATCTCTATCTACTCAGAATAAAGGTGTATAGTACATGTTAGCCCCTCCCACACACAGGTGTAAATTACATGTTAGCCTCCCATACAGGTGTGTATTGTCTTGCCTGTGTTAGAACGTTCCATAAGGTGAGAAGTTCTCTGGAGAGGGCGCTGCTCTGTGTCCCAGCGGGGAGGAGACTGTCACAGGTGGTCGAGGGCTTTGGGAGGAGATCGCTGTGATCCGCCAACGTCGCTCCTCCCACACCGCTCGCTCAGCCTCCTGTGGCAGTGTGTCAGGAAGGAGACGGGTGATCAGTGATCGCGGAGTGTTTGTAAATAATTGAGGACAGAGTATGTTTATTATATCCTCAATTATGAATGAATGGGAAGAGATCTACATCACCTCTACATCACTTCCTGTCCATTCATGATTGTGGTTATAGTAAACATACTCTGTCCTCATATTATGAATGATCAGGACACTCAGTATAGAGGATTCCTGATCATTGATAACAGGGGATACAGAAAAGGAGATTGAGGACTCTGTGTGTCTCTGAGGACTCTTTCTCTATTTTAACCGCTTGAAGACCAGGTGTTTAGATCCCCTACCTGGCCAGGCCATTTTTCAGTATTCAGCGCTGCAGTACTTTGACTGACATTTATTCCGTCACGCAACGCTGTACTGAAATGAATTTTATACCCTTTTTTGGGGACAGATAGAGCTTTATTTTGGTGGTATTTAATCACCACTGCGGGTTTTATTTTTTACTATATTCAGGAGAAATTACTGAAAATTTTGAGAAAAAAAAAGTTTTTTTTTACATTCTGCTATAAAACAACTAATAATATTACCCACTTTTTTGGTAAAATATAAGAGTCGGGTGGTCACGTCGGGTAAATAGACACCAAACATGTCAAGCGTAAAAATTGCGCGCACTCGCAAAATCGCAAAAAACTAGCATACCCAAAATTGGCCATAGGCGATGCTTTAAAAGCTTTTACCGCTCATCAGTTTAGTGTTATCAGTGATTGATGGCCC